GTAGACTCCTGCAGAAGCGAGAGGATCCCTCTTGTCCTTTGATGAACGAAGCATTTGTTGGATTTTCTGGACCACTCTAACAACTACCATGTCAGGCTAGTGGTTCTCAACCTGGGTTCCCCAGATATTTTTGGCCTTCAACTCCCAGAAATCCTAACAGCTGACGTGCTGGGATTTCTGGGAGTTGTAGGCCAAAAACATCTGGGGACCCCAGGTTGAGAACCAAACCATTGAAATCCACAAGAATGTGGACAATTTCAACAGAAACCATGAAAATGAACAAAATCCAGCTACTAGTATTTAAAAACTCTGAAATTATAACAGTAAATAAAGAATGAAACTGAAACACAGGGGGACTCCAGGCAAGAATCAGGAACAACTAACCACCTCTCAATAAAAGATTCCCCCAGGCAGTAACAAGCCACACCTAAAACTGTCAAGCCATCAAATGCTAATCAAGGTGTCCAACTGAAACATTCATACCTAGCTCTAACAGAAAAGAGTTCTTTGTCCCACCACAGATATATAAACCCAATTTTCCTAGTTTCCATCAAACCTCACAACCTCTGAGGATGCCTGCCATAGATGCAGGTGAAACGTCAGGAGAGAATGCTTCTAGAACATGGTCATCCAACCTGAAAAATATACAACAACCCAGCTGCTAAGCTTGCTGGGATTTATGGGAGTTGAAGTCCAAAACACTTGGCAGGCTGACGTTTATTTATTTATTTATTTTCAACATTTATATGCTGCCCTTCTCACCCTAAAGGGGACTTAAAAAAATACATTATATTATTAACTTAGAATATCAGTATTATATGCTCCAGCAAAGGATCACCGCCTTGTCGGGGCGCTGGAGCTTGAGCACCTCAATGATGTCATGAGCGAAACCGTGAAGGGCCACCCAAGACGGGACGGTTGTGGCAGAGAGGTCAGACCAAGCGTGATCCCTGGGGAAGGCAATGGCAAACCACTCCAGTATCCTTGCCAAGAAAACTAAATGGACCAGTACAACCAGAGATATGCCGGTATGCCATTGGAAGATGGGACTCCCAGGTCGGAAGATGGCCAAAATGCTACTGGGGAGGAGCAGAGGATAAGTTCAACTAGCCCCAGATGTGATGACGCAGCTAGCTCAAAGCCGAAAGGAAGGCTAGCGGCCGACGGTACTGGAGGTGAACGACGAATCCGATGATCTAAAGATCAACACACCATAGGAACCTGGAATGTAAGATCTATGAGCCAGGGCAAATTGGATGTTGTTATTGGCGAGATGTCAAGACTAAAGATAGACATTCTGGGGGTCAGCGAACGGAAATGGACTGGAATGGGCCACTTCACATCAGACAACCACCAGATCTACTACTGCGGACAAGAGGAACATCGAAGAAATGGAGTAGCCTTCATAATTAATAAGAAATTCGCTAAAGCGGTGCTTGGATACGACCCAAAAAATGACAGAATGATCTCAATTCGAGTGCAAGGAAAGCCTTTCAACATTACAGTGATCCAAATATATGCCCCAACCACAGCTGCTGAAGAAGCAGAAGTAGATCAGTTCTATGAGGATCTGCAGGACCTACTGGATAATACACCAAAAAGAGACATTATTTTCATTACAGGAGACTGGAATGCCAAGGTGGGAAGTCAAATGGCAACTGGGATCACAGGCAAGCATGGTCTGGGAGAACAAAATGAAGCGGGACGCAGGCTGATAGAATTTTGCCAGGAAAACTCGCTGTGTATAACGAATACTCTCTTCCAACAACCTAAAAGACGGCTTTACACATGGACCTCACCAGACGGTCAACACCGAAATCAGATTGACTACATCCTTTGCAGCCAAAGGTGGCGGACATCCATCCAGCCGGTGAAAACAAGACCTGGGGCTGACTGTAGCTCAGATCACGAACTTCTTATTGCCCAATTTAGAATAAAACTAAAGAGATCAGGGAAAATACACAGACCAGTTAGATATGATCTCACTAACATTCCTAGCGAATATACAGTGGAAGTGAAGAACAGATTTGAAGGACTAGATTTAGTAAACAGAGTACCAGAAGAACTATGGACAGAAGTCCGAGACATTGTTCAGGAGGCGGCAACAAAGTACGTCCCAAAGAAAAAGAAAACCAAGAAGGCAAAATGGTTGTCTGCTGAGACACTGGAAGTAGGCCAAGAAAGGAGGAAAGCAAAAGGAAACAGTGATAAGGGGAGATATGCCCAGTTAAATGCGCAATTCCAGAGGTTAGCCAGAAGAGATAAGGAACTATTTTTAAATAAGCAATGCATGGAAGTGGAAGAAGACAACAGAATAGAAAGAACAAGAGACCTCTTCCAGAAAATTAGAAACATTGGAGGTAAATTTCAGGCAAAAATTGGTATGATAAGAAACAAAGATGGCAGGGACCTAACAGAAGCTGAAGAGATCAAGAGAAGGTGGCGAGAGACTATACAGAAGATCTGTATAGGAAGGATAATAATATTGAGGATAGTTTTGACGGTGTGGTGAATGAATTAGAACCAGACATCCTGAGGAGTGAGGTTGAATGGGCCTTAAGAAGCATTGCTAACAACAAGGCAGCAGGAGCCGACGGGATCCCAGCTGAACTGTTTAAAATCTTAAAAGATGATGCTGTCAAGGTATGCATGCCGTATGCCAGCACATATGAAAAACACAAGAATGGCCATCAGACTAGAAAAAATCAACTTATATTCCAATGCCAAAAAAAAGGAAATGCTGAAGACTGCTCAAACTTCCGTACAGTGGCCCTTATTTCTCATGCCAGTAAGGTAATGCTCAAGATCCTGCAAGGAAGAATCCAGCAATACATGGAGCGAGAGTTGCCAGATGTTCAAGCTGGGTTTAGAAAAGGCAGAGGAACGAGAGACCAAATTGCCAATATCCGCTGGATAATGGAGAAAGGCAGGGAGTTTCAGAAAAACATCTACTTCTGCTTCATTGACTATTCTAAAGCCTTTGACTGTGTGGATCATAATAAATTGTGGCAAGTTCTTGGTGGGATGGGCATCCCAAGCCACCTTGTCTCTCTCCTGAGGAATCTGTACAAGGACCAAGTAGCAACAGTCAGAACTGACCACGGAACAACAGACTGGTTCAAGATTGGGAAAGGCGTATGGCAAGGCTGCATCCTCTCACCCAACCTTTTTAACTTGTATGCAGAATACATCATGCGATGTGCGGGGCTGGATGAATGCAAAGCTGGGGTGAAAATTGCTGGAAGAAACATTAACAACCTCAGATATGCAGATGACACCACTCTGATGGCCGAAAGCGAGGAGGAGCTGAGGAGCCTTCTAATCAAGGTGAAAGAAGAAAGCGCAAAAGCCGGGTTGCAGCTAAACGTCAAAAAAACCAAGATTATGGCAACAAGAATGATTGACAAATGGAAAATAGAGGGAGAAACCGTGGAGGCCGTGACAGACTTTGTATTTCTAGGTGCAAAGATTACTGCAGATGCAGACTGTAGCCAGGAAATCAGAAGACGCTTACTTCTTGGGAGGAGAGCAATGTCCAGTCTCGATAAAATAGTAAAGAGTAGAGACATCAGAATGGCAACAAAGATCCGCCTAGTCAAAGCCATGGTCTTCCCTGTAGTAACCTACGGATGTGAGAGCTGGACCTTAGGGAAGGCTGAGCGAAGGAAGATCGATGCTTTTGAGCTGTGGTGCTGGAGGAAAGTTCTGAGAGTGCCTTGGACTGCGAGAAGATCCAACCAGTCCATCCTCCAGGAAATAAAGCCCGACTGCTCATTGGAGGGAAGGATACTAGAGACAAAGTTGAAGTACTTTGGCCACATCATGAGGAGACAGCAAAGCCTAGAGAAGACAATGATGCTGGGGAAAATGGAAGGAAAAGGAAGAGGGGCCGACCAAGGGCAAGATGGATGGATGGCATCCTTGAAGTGACTGGACTTGAGGGAGCTGGGGGTGGTGATGACTGACAGGGAGCTCTGGCGTGGGCTGGTCCATGAAGTCACAAAGAGTTGGAAATGACTGAACGAATGAACAACAAAGTGCCACTAGATGCCCTATATGGTCTCTTGATTCTATGACTCTATGATTCTATGATTTGTGGAATTTCTGCCTGACTTCCATTAACAAGAAGCTGGGTGACCAATTTTTAATGTTGTTGTTGTTCATTCGTTCAGTCGTTTCCGATTCTTCGTGATCTCATGGACCAGACCATGCCAGATCTCCCTGTCAGCCGTCACCACTCCCAGCTCCTTCAAGGTCAATCCAGTCACTTCAAGGATGCCATCCATCCATCTTACCCTTGGTCGGCCTCTCTTCCACACACACATATGTATATATACATGTATATGCATATATGTATATATATATGTATGTATATTTATGTATATACAATATATTATATTATCAGCATATTATATTATAATATATTATATTATCAGCTCCTTCAAGGTCAATCCAGTCACTTCAAGAATACCATCCATCCTTCCATATATATATATGTATATATGTGTGTGTGTATATATGCATATATGTACATATATGTATGTATATTTATGTATATGTATATATATGTATATACAATATATTATATTATCAGCATAGCACAGGAGACAAGGTGTAGATGTATCTTGAAAGACAGCTTCCCCGCTTTTCAAAATAAATTAGAACAATTTCTTTCCAAGACTCTCTTTTAAGCGGGATACAAATAATAATTCCACCAGAGAATTTTAAACGCACAGCCTTCCGCCCACCCCTACTGCCTTTCATGTGGACTTGCCCACTGCGCAATGACGGGGTTTGAAGGGCGTGTACCATTCCGGGCTGGGGGGGGGGGGGATGGAGGGGGCGTGGCCAGCTCGCATCTGAACTGCAGGGTGACTGAACTGAGAAGGCGCCTACGCACGGTCGGTCACGCGCCCCCTTCGCCAGGGCGGGGCCGGAGGAAGAGGCTGGCCCGCGCCGCCCCTTCTGCGCATGCCTACTGTCGCGCGAGGCTCACCCATAGACGCCACAGGAGGGCAGAGCGGCTCGAGCTGGGCGCCACATCCGGTTCCTGCGGGGTTTGCCTCGGAAGGCGGATGGAGCGGGTTCTAGAGCGCAGAGCCGGCGAGGGGCGAGCGGGCCAATGAGAAGCGCGCTCTTGCCGGCCTCCTCGCCTTCGGCCTCGGGGCAAAGGCGGCGGAGGAAGAAGAAGAGGAGGAGGAGGCGGCGGTGGCAGTAGTTCCAAGGCGGAGGAGGGAGGATGCTGCCCGCCTTGGCCGCCCGGCGCAGCGGATGGGGCTGCCTCTACCAGCTGCACCTGCTGCGGCCCAGCGCCAGGCTCCCCTTCGCCAGGGCCGGCTGCCACGGTGAGCTGATGCTGCTGCTGCTTCTTGTTGTTGTTCCTGCCCTCAAGGAGACGGCGAGTCATGGGCATCTTTTACCTGAGAGACTCAGGGCTCTGGCTTGCTTGACCGAATATATCACTTCGGCCTTCCAGGTGTTTTGGACTTCAACTCCCACAATTCCTATCGAAGGCTGTCATGGCTTGAATCACTTCTCAGTGAGTTTTCAAAACTGTATGGCCATGTTGCAGTAGCGTTCTCTCCTGACATTTCTCCTTCATATGTGGCAAGCATTCCCAGAGGTAGGAGCCCCCAGTGGCACAGTGGATTAAACCCCAGAGACCGACAGGTCGCAGGTTCGGATCCAGGGAGAGCGTGGATGAGCTCCCTCTATCAGCTCTAGCTCCCCATTCCGGGGACATGAGAGGAGCCTCCCACAAGGAATAGTAAAACATCAAAACATCTGGGCGTTCTCTGGGCAACATCCTTGGAGACGGCCAATTCTCTCACACCAGAAGCGACTTGCAGTTTCTCAAGTCGCTCCTGACATGACAAAAAAAAAAAATCCCCAGAAGTTTGTTCATTGTTCTGTTGGAAGTGAGGCAAGTGGAGTGTATATATATCTGTGGAAGGTCCAGGGTGGGAGAAAAAAGAACCTTTGTCTGTTTGAAGCAGTTGTGAATGTTGCTGTTAGCAAGATGGATTAGCACTGATAATCTACAAGGGTTGGAACTTTAATAGTGGCAACACTTCTGTAAAGACGCCACGCAATGAAACCAAATAATGTTGCGTATACCACACATTAGTTACATACCAACCTTACCTCTGAGCAGGACCCCCCCCCCCCCCCCCCCCCCCCCCCGGTGGCGCAGTGGGTTAAACCCCTGTGCCGGCAAGACTGAAGACTAACAGGTCGTAGGTTCGAATCCGGGGAGAGGCAGATGAGCTCCCTCTATCAACTCCAGCTCCTCATGTGGGACATGAAGGAAGCCTCCCACAAGGATGATAAAACATCAAATCATCTGGGCATCCCCTGCAGACAGCCAGTTCTCTCACACCAGAAGTGACTTGCAGTTTCTCAAGTCACTCCTGACACAAAAACAACAACAACAACAAGAAAAACCTTTGAGCAAAAGGATTTGCCCTTCCTACGTCAGAGTGACGTGAATAATTGAGCATCATATCTAAAGTAAGTGTTGTTGCGATGTTTTCGAAACAAGAACAACGAAGTTGGATAAAGATTGAATGTGCCAGAGGTCATACAGTAATTATGCCATTCGTTCGATTGGCGTTTCAGCTCTGGCTGGTGCGATCTGGCCCAAGTCTAATCCAGCGTAATGATACGACGTAAGAAAGTCTCTCCTTCACGCTCATAGTGTTCCAAGTGGGTACGAGCAACATCAGATCGTAGCCATTTCTGCATTTCTGTCAAATGATGCGGAACCCATCGTGAAGCAATTTTTCTCATGTCCAGGTGTTCCTTCAGAATGTGGAGCACAGTCATATGTGCAGATCCTGTGTTTTGGGCCAGCTCACAAATCATATGGCGTTGATCACTATCTATGAGTGCGACAACAACATTCAGATTACACAGAGGAGCCATTGAAATCCACAAGCACTGAAACAGGGGAATTCCAGACAGTAAACTATCAAGTGGCAGCTAACACCTCCCAAACAAAGGATGCCCCCAGCCAACAACAGCCAGGCTTTGCAGCTGCAAGGCTACTCAATGGTATTCAAGCCAGCTAATTGCAACATTCACAACCATTTCAAACAGACAAGAGTTATTTCTCCCACCCTGGACACTCCACAAATATATACACCCCAAAGAGCATGAAAGGCACTGCAGACTAATTCAGCCAAAGAAGTCAGCTGTAACAGAACACTTGATGAACCAACCTGGATGCAGAATATTATTTGGGAAAACAGACATGCTGGACCATTCTAACAACCATCATGTCAGACTACACAGAGAAGCCATTGTAATCCACAAGCATGTGGACAATATCAACAGAAAGGAGGAAACCATGAAAATCTGGCTACCAGTATTAAAAAAAAACAACAGAATCAAGACAGTAAATAAAGAATATCACTCAGAAACAGGAAAATTCCAGACAGCAAGCAACCAAGTACCAGTTACCACTTTCCAGACAAAGGATGCCTCCTGGCAACAACAACCAAGAAATACCCTCACTTATTGACTTTGTAGCTGCGCAACTTTCACACTTGCCACAAACAGACAAGGGTTCTTTCCCTCACCCTGTACATTTCACAGATATATACACACCCCACTTGCTTCATTTACAACAAACCTCTGAACAAACCTCTGAGGATGGCTTCTATAGATGCAGGTGAAATGTCAGGAGAGAATGCTACTGGAACATAAACATACAGCCCAAAAAACTGACAGCAACCCAGTGATTCCGGCCATGAAAGCCTTTGACAACACTTTGTGACATAGTGTTATCTGACATGTGGACTGAGAAAGCTGGGAATTGCAGGCCAACAGCACTTGTGACTCTGAGGTTGGGGAAAGGTTAAAGGACATTTTAAAGTCAGGCATCACATCTGCAAGCCTTGTATCTAAACTGGTGTTCTTGAGCTAAGCTAATGACATTCCTTTATTTTATTGTCTAAATTGTGACAGGAAAACCATGGTCCGTTTGATGCTTGGCTGGAATATAGGAGATTTGAATACTAGTTCTTTTGAGCCACGAAATTGTCAGAATGCACTGACTAAAAGAACAAACATGTTTGTGTTTATTAAAAATATTTTCCCTTAAAGTTTACATATTAGAACTAAGTAAATCTGTAAAGTACGTTGTACATTCTACTTGATAGGTGGAAATTAATGCCTTCTGTGTATCTGCCAGTGGGGCTTATTAAAGCAACACCTAATTTTGGTGTATAAGATATTTATTATTATTTATTTATTTCAAAGTTTTATATACCGACCTTCTCACCTCTTTGAGGGACTCAGACCGGTTTCCAACCATAAAAACACATACAATCGGTAAAACATCATAGTTCATATTACAATAACATATTAAAACAACAAATATATTTAAAACTACAGTGGTCAGTCGTCATACTAAAATCAATTATACATCATCTTCTATCCAAATCTTAGGGTGTTGCCTCATTCATCGAAGCCTGTCTCCATAACCACGTCTTCACCTGTTTCCTAAATATCAGGATAGAAGGGGCGGTTTTGACCTCCGGTGGGAGAGAGTTCCAGAGTCGTGGGGCACCACCGAGAAGGCCCTGTCCCTCGTCCCCACCAGACGCGCTTGCGAGGCCGGTGGGACCGAGAGCAGGGCCTCTCCAGACGATCTTAATAATCTTGATGGTTCATAGGGGAGAATACGTTCGGAGAGGTAAACAGGGCCGGAGTCGTTTAGGGCTTTATAGGTTAACACCAGCACTTTGAATTGTGCTCGGAAGCTAATTGGCAGCCAGTGGAGCTGGTGTAACAGCGGAGTGGTGTGCTCCCTGTACCCAGCACCCGTTAGTAGTCTGGCTGCCGAGCGTTGGACTTGCTGCAGCTTCCGGGCAGTCTTGTCTACGTCCATGTTGCAGTTATCATATGTCTTCCTATCTTCAGTGGCCGCCATGAGATTTTGTTGCCTCCAGTAGCTTTTAAAATGTGTTGATTCTTATTTTTTTCAGGATGGCAGATGCCTATTACACTTGGAAGTCCACTACCCAAGCTACCAGGTAGTTTTCTGCCTGTTCATTCAAGTCAAGTAAGACTTTATACTTCTGATGGACAGAAGGACAGCACCGGAGCACAAGATGCAAGCTCCCCAGGTTCTGAAGGCAGTGCACAAAAGACAGCAACAGGTAGGCCTACCTTGACTTAGCCTTGTTCTCTTCAACAGTTAGAAGGGATGACAGCTTTCAACCCAGAGATTTCTTGGTGTGTAATCCTCTTGATGTGCCTCTTACCAGTAAGGCTCATGAAACACAATTGGATTTAATTCTAAGTGGTGATTAGGCTGTATTTTAAAGAGGCGGCTCTTCTCACCTGTTTTCTACTCAACCAATATAACTTCTATACTTCTACACTGCCCTATATCCTAGGATCTGATCCCAGATTATCTGGCAGTGGAGACTCATCAGATAATCTGAGATCAGATCCTGGGCTATAGGGCAGTGTAGAAGGGGCCTTAGCTTCCCTTCACTGCTTGCTATGTGGCCTTCAATCTTTTATCCTCCAGATATTTTGGGCCTCAGCTTCCAGAATCCGTGATTGCTTCCATGCAGACTGAGGCACTTTAGAAGCTAAAGTCCAGAAAAGCTAGAGGACCAACAATGGGCGGATGGGTGTGAGGGTGAAGAGATTAATGCTACAGTTGTAATAAGTAGTTGTGTTGTCTTACTTAGCTAAGGGCTTGAAAGGTATTTATCTTGGTGGCAAGATGGAAACCCACATGACATTTTACTTTGTAATGTATTACTTCCACTGCCATGCATAAATTGAATGGACTCTTTAGGTCAGGAATGGGGAATCTGGGATCCTTCAGTTATTGTAGCCGAACTGCAACCCCCCCAACATACCTTGTCATCGGCTGCACTGAGTCTCCCTTGTGGGGAGAAGGGCGGGATATAAATATATGAAAGAAATAAATAAAAAAAATTGGCAGGCTAGCTGATGGTGATGGGAATTGTAGTTCAGCAACATATGGAGGGTTTCAGACTACTGAGCATTTGTCAGGAGATGATTTGCAGGAATGTCTCTTGGACAGATTTGAAACCAGTGAAGGTGGTGAGGAAGCCAGAGCTCCTATTCTTCTCTGTTTCTTTCATTATTCCTGCTGGGATGGAGTGTATAGATCTCTCTTGCCAAAGTTTTGAACTGTTCCCTTTGAAAAGGGCTTTTAAAATCAAGCCAAGAGTTATCTGGTATTGCCTTCTCTGTATCACTGCTTCTTAAAGTATGGGTCCTGACCCCAAATAGGTCCTCTTAGCTCAGTCTTGGGGCCCCAAAAACTTGGCAACAGTAAAAGTTGTCTGAACATTGCCTACTCTTTTCAAGCTCTAGTGTGATAAGGCCTGGGCCCATAAGTGTTTTAGACATTTACACAAATCTGTTGTGGAGTGTTTACAGTGGACTCTGCAGAAGATGCTTTAGCTGTACTTTATAAAAGGGAAATCAGCCAGTTTAGCAAGCCTTCAAGTGCTGATTTGTTATCAGTAAATATTTGATGTATTGTCGAAGGCTTTCATGGCTGGAATCACTGGGTTGTTGTAGGTTTTTTCAGGCTATATGGCCATGTTCTAGAGGCATTCTAGAGGTTTCACCTGCATCTGTGGCAAGCATCCTCAGAGGTAGTGAGGTGACCTCACTACCTCTGAGAATGCTTGCCATAGATGCAGGCGAAATGTCAGGAGAGAATGCCTCTAGAACATGGCCATATAGCCCGAAAAAAATCTACAACAACCCAATAAATATTTGATTTTATATACCAAGGGGCCTCGTACAGTTTTCTTGGGCCAAAAGGGGTATTGGATGGAAAAGTTTAAGAAGCTCTGCTCTAAAGTATGCCCCGGACATATTGTGCCAAACTCTTCAATTCATCAATCCATGTGGGAAAGGTTCTCTTTATGGTCTCTGTGATTCACAGTTGAGGTGAGTTTTGCCTGCGCAGTGCATCATTGGGAGCCTTATAGAGCTATTATGTGTTTTGATGGCAACCCCCTTTTCACTAGTCCATGTGACCAGCATTGTTCCAGGTCAATCCCTTAGTTTGGTTGTTGTTGTTTTGTTTTGTTTTTGTTTTGGGTTTTTTTGCTGCAACAGAAGCATAAAAAGAACTATTAGTGAACTTACCACTTTCTTTTTATGGACTTTTTGGCCTAGGTTTCTGGCTTCTTCTGGACTTTGATTTCCAGCTTGATCCAGACTCCCTAACTTTGGTAACTGACTTTGGGTTTTGTCTTGACGGTTCTGTTAGTGCTGTAGCTTATTATGGCTTCATTAGCCAAAATAAAATGAAGCAGGATCTCTGACAACAATGATCACTTGTATAATCTCCTGTGCTTGGTTGAAGGGGCTGGCTCTCATTGTCAGGCATTAACCCTATGAGAATGCAAGGATCACTGCTCTTGGTTCAGGAGCCTCCTCTGGGAGAAAGCCTTGCCACTCTGTGAGAAGCCAACTGATTAGGGTCATGGGTTTTAGCCTCGTCAGTCCTCAGCTCCAGCCACCTCTAGTTAATTGGTTCGGGTGGGGTTCAAATAATCTTTCCAAGACAGCTCTACAAAAAACTAAGGCATTGGACCTCTGATTCTGCCTCTCAATCTAAAACAAAGGACTGTTGATGTGGAGACTTTATCTTGGATACCTTTGACAGCTATTGTCCTCCCAACCCTTCTATATGCCTGCGAGACATGGACTATCTACAGACGTCACATGCAACCCTAGACTGATTCCATCAGTGTTGCCTCCGAAAAGTCCTGCAAATCTCTTGGGAAGACAAGCGGACAAATGTCAGTGTGCTGGAAGAAGAAAAGACCACCGGCATTAAAGCGATGGCCCCCCACCATCAACTCCACTGGACCGGCCACGTTGTCCAGATGCCTGACCACCGTCTCCCAAAGCAGTTGCTCTACTCCGAACTCAAGAATGGAAAATTAAATTTTGGAGGGCAGGAAAAGATATTTAAAGATGGGCTAAAAGCCGACCTTAAAAACTCTGGCATAGACACTGAAAACTGAGAAACCCAGGCTCTTGAGAGCTCCAGCTGGAGGCTAGCTGTGACCAGCAGTGCAGTAAAATTTGAAGAGGCACGAATGGAGGGCGAAAGAGAGAAACATGCCAAGAGGAAGGTGCATCAAGCCAACCCGACTGGGACCGCCTTCCACCTGGAAACCAATGCCCTCACTGCGGGAGAACATGCAGATCAAGAATAGGGCTCCACAGTCACCTAAGTAACCACCGCCAGCACACCGATCTTGGACGACAATCCTGCTCGGACAACGAGGGATTGCCTAAGTAAGTAAGTACCTTTGATACTGGGGCAATTCTCTGATGTGGAGGCTGCCACAATGGCATCTAAGCACTGAACAGAAAAGAGGTGGCACAAGAAAAAATAGGGGACCAAAGATGCAGAGGGCACACATATTGCCTTGTACTGTAAAGTGATCCATTCAACCTCCTTTTGTGGAGAAGATGCAACAAAGGAAATCTTCAGTACTGATCTTTGTGGAGTTGAGGCATTCCTCTCCCTAGCTTGAACAGTGGGTCGTTGAACCAGTGCAGATGCACGCTTCAAGTTGGTATCACATCTGAGGGAAAGATTGTTGAATTGTTACCTTGAGTGCTGCAAGGATCTTCTAGGGGTGCCACCCCTGTATTGCTCCTGTTCCGTCATCCTGTCAGTCTGTTTGATGTCACCATTTGATCTCCATGTCTGTATCTAGCAGTTCCAGGGCATCAGGGATATCTCCATCCCCATCCTGTAGCCCTTTGTCAAGGTTATCTTCATGTCATCAGTAACTCGTGAATCAAATTGCCATCAATGTGGACATGATTTTGAGAATTATGGATGTACGTATAGTGCTTATCAAAGTGCATATTATAACTATAAATTGTCCTCATCTATGAAGTTTGACTATGTGGAGTTGGAGGAAGGTTCGTATTGCTCCAAGGGATCACATCCCCACTATCACCATTATAGTCAGTATCACAGGTTGGAATCTGCCTTAGTACCATCCAGACCACAGTCTCCCATTCAAGAGGGATGGTGGACAAAGCTGCTTGTAGCACAGACCGATCCTCTTGCTTAGTTCTTCTGGTCACTGCTTCCTTCTGATAAGGTAAACTGAGAAGGTGTCTCCTTGGATTTGGCCCTCAGTACATTGTTGGGTATAAGAACACTTCATACTTCATGTTCTCTAGTCCATATGAGTAGATGACCTATGGAAGAGTCTTGGGTCTCATAGTATTCTGATTCAGACCCAGCCACTGCTTCTTTGGGCCTGCCTATAGGTCAGTGGTTCCAAACTTTTTTTTTTTTACCAGGGACCACTTCGATCAGGGACCACTCTCCAACATTAATACCAAAAGAGTTTTGAATCAGTTTTTGGTCAACTTTAGATTTGGCTTGGTTATTCGGGGTGCTGATTCAGAAGATAGCATTGGATAGACTACATCCACTCTAGTTTCTGATACAGGACATATGTCATCCAGTAGTTGCCATCTGCTCAGCCACAGAAAAGCACATTTAATAATCTAGATCTGATGTGGTCTACCCCATGCAATTTTCTGAATCAGCACCCCAAAGAACTCCAGGAACAGGCCTAAAATGAAGAAACCAAGGCTCCCCCACTTCCAGGCACCACATGGAACAGCTTTGCTCAAGGGGAGGAAGGAGGAGAAGCAGCCTTCAGGAGACTTATTGTCGTGCCTTTCATGGGTAGTTATCTTCTCCCTTTCCGACATCCTCATTGCCTCGGCACTGTAAGAGGGGTTTGTGAGATCAGTCGCTCTTGTTGCAATGGTGTAGTAACAGTGAGGCCACAGACCTTATTTTAGCAGTGATTCCCAACCTGTGGTCCATGGATCGCCTGGTCCATGGGCCACAGGTTGGGAGCCACGGACCACAGGTTGGGAACCACTGCTATAGATTATGTATGCCAGGTCCAGATCTGAAGGTATGCTGTTTTCCTATCTCACAAGACACTCCTTCTCCCTTTTGTTAATCTTCCATTTGCATGAGTCACAGAGAATATGAAGAAGAGTGGGGTATGTGCCTGTAACCGTAGTTTGTCAGTGAACTCACACAACATTTGTTCTCCCTCCCTTCTGTATGTCCTGCTCTCTCTAGCCTCTTGGGTGA